CTCTGCTTATTCTCTCAGGTCCCATTCTCCCCCAGTCTTTTTTTTCTTTCTTTCTTTTTTCTCTCTTTTTTCTTTCTTTTTTTTCTTTCCTTTTTTCTTTCTTTTTTCTTTCCTTTTTTTCTTCTTTTTTTCTCCCTTTCCTCTCCCTTTCCTCTCCCTTTCCTCTCCCTTTCCTCTCCCTTCCTTACCGTCTTTACCTTCCTTACATATTTATTTTCTGGCTCCTGATTTACTCATGTGTTGATTACAGTGTTTTATAGAACTAGTATAAAATATGGACTTTCAGTACTTCAGTGAGGTTAAGGGAAAATAGGAGTTGCAGGGCTGGTTATAGTTGCTCAAAGGCTGCTTGGCTGGGTGAAGAGTTTCTGCAGCAAGAGACAAGGATGACTTACTCCAGAAGCAGTCGCAATTTGTCAGTGGAGTCAAGCAAGGTGGAGCTCTGCTGTACTAAATAACTACCTCCTTGGTCTTTCCACACCCTAATACAAATCCATCCCATGCTCCTGTTTGTCTCAGGTTGTAGCAGCAGGTGGAATAGGAGTTGGTTTCAAATTGTCTGTTCCTCTATTGTGCAAGACTGTTCTCTTTTCACTCTGGGCTTTCTTTCCCTGTCTGGTGACTGGGTAGAAGTGAATGAATCCTAAGAGGTCTGTATTAGAAACTCTGCATAAGCCCCTTGTGAAACTTGGATTTTACTCAAATCTATAATGCTGGACAGATTTCTCAGTGCAATAGGAAGAAAACTGTCCTAAGATACCAGGTGTCCTCTGGAATCCTCAAAATCATAATGTCTTTTCAGCTGATATTCAACTGATTGTGCTCAATACTTTTTAATTTGAAATGCATATACTTCAGTCAAGTCTGTTATGTGTTTGGGGGTTTTTTAATAATTTTTTTCCTTACAGTCAGGTGCAACTTCTCTGTTCTTTGCTGCACAGCAAGGCCACAACGATGTAGTGAAGTTTCTCTTTGAATTTGGAGCCTCTACTGAATTTAAGAATAAAGTAAGATGATGGGTCTATTTTTGCATGCTGATACATTCTAACAATCAAGGCTGTTTTTTGCTATTCACATGAGACATGGCATGGCTGCAGGAAGATGATAAAAGGATTTCCTCACTTGAACATTTTCTAAGTAATATCAGTAATGCAACATATTGTGAAAATACTAACTTGGGACTAGTTTTTAGTACCTAAACTTAATGGCGTAAGTTGATCAAAGATCAGTCCCTTGATACTGATATCAAGTCTTTCCTCTCAAGCCATCCTCCAATGCGAGAACAAAGGGTCTTTTTGTACATGTTAGATGGGATCCCATTTTAGGTATATATGTGCTTCACTTGCGTAGACTGAAATTTCATCTACCTTGGGATGTCTCTGCATATCACCGTAGGATACATAAGAGTAAAATGGCTTCAGTCTTCCCTAAATTCCCATTTATCCACCTGTGACAAAAAGAAGAAATGCACCTCAGACCTTCTATTTCTTTGTTCAGGCCGGTCCTTTTTCAAAATCTTCTCATAACAGCCAAAAGCACAGATGCCAGAGCCTGGGTCTGGTTCATCACCCATCATGAGGTGAACAGCATTAAGAACAGCAGTTCATCACTAACAGCAGTACATCAGTGCATTTTCTTTGTCCAAGGCCCTACTAGCATTTATACTTTCAGCAAACAGAACCAAACCCAACATATTTTCATTAAATATTCTTGCCCTGACATGCTGGCCACATTTTGGAGCACTCCCATAATCTGGGGAGGACACTTGCCAGTCACTTACCCTGGGATCCATAGCGATGTGTTTGAAAAAAAAGGAATATGTCTTTATCCCACAGTAACCAATTTTTCAAGATGTTATAGTCTGTGATTTGAATGATTCCCTCAACCCATACCTGCTTTCCAGAGTCCCTGGAAATATAGGCTTTAAATACTAAAGGAATTGATGGAACATCAGAAACTCAACTTCTTATGCTCCAGGGACTAAAAATCCCAAAGTTTTGTGGCCAGAGTCCACACACACCCATACAGTAGGTTTCGAGTATGTCAGGGAGCTATGCTTGTGGTAAATAACTCTCTGACCACAGCAGCTATCAGTAAATTTAAAAACATTAATGAAATTGTAGCTATTTAACACAATATATATTGAGTACAGCTTTGGAACTTGGCGACGTAGGAGGTTGCAATGTTAAATACAACAGTATTAAAGTGCTGGATAATCTCATCTAGGACTGCTCTTGGGAGAAGCTGCACATTAAAATGAGGTTTGCTTCTCAGTCTTTTCTTTCAGGGTATAGGTGAGGATTAGCAAGATTCAGAAAGACCATCTCTTGCATTCAGCTGGATACAATTGAGCGAGTGAGCTTACACTGTCCTTTGAGTCATCTGGCCTACAAAGAGGCCACAAAGCCAAGCTGAAGAAGTAAAGGTGTCCCAGGCATAGGAAGAGCCTGGACTTCTCACTGCAGCTCAGCATGCAGTTGGGTAGTGTTTTTGCAGAGGGAGGGAAAGTGGTGAGCACAGGAAACTTGGTAAGGAGGAAACTAAGACAGATGCTGAGTACCTTATTCTGCCTTCACAAACTAGGAGTTTGTGAAGAAGCTAAGACTTGGCCCAGAAGGTGAACAGCAGGCTTGAAATTGTCTGATCCTTCATGACAATATATAATCTTTTATGAAGTATGCAAAATATATTGATATGAGTCACTAGGGCAGATAAAAAAAGGGAGTAAAGATCTAAATGATAAGAAAATATTCCTGCATTCAACTGTTCCTGATGGCTCCCGTCTTTGGACAAGTGCAGGTGTTGGTTCTGCTGTTGATCACTTTGAAACTTTGCTCCCAGCCCCCATATTCCTGCTTGACTCCTCTTCTGAATTCAGACCTGACTTGGCCCACGTGCTGGTCCTAGGTATCTTTTAAGCTGCAGGTTGCTCTTCCTCTCCAGGCCACAGGTTTCCGCCACTTCTTAACGTGCTGCACTGGTGTGCGCTGTGTGTATGAGGCTCTTTTCTAGCAGCATCAAGTGTGCCTGTCCAAGCACTGCCTCCTTCTCATCACCTCTTCAAGAGGGGTATCAGTCACTTCAGCACTCACGGTATGACTCAAGCTATAGTGTCTGAAAAGGCTCTTAAAAGCTGAACAAAGGATAGCCAAGTTAAAATTAATCTGTGCAAGATTAAAGTGACACTGGTTTAAAAAGTTGAGGTTAGCTATCATGTCCATTCCTTCTTTGCTGAAAGGATCTGCTGTCTCTGAGTAGCAGTCTGAGGGCTTTGCTAGGTTCATCATTAATGCTGGGACCTATCCTGGAAATTGCCATATTCATTCCTTCACTCATTCCTTGCTTGGGGACTGCAGCTCTTCTTCTGAAATGAGGATCTAGACACAGGGATTTAAATGCTTACAGCTTCCAGACTGGGCTTTGATAACACACCAAATTTTTAGGCTGAGGCTGGTGGGAAACCAACTTGTCCTGTGTGTTGCAGCATGTACCTGAGCAGGAGGCACCACTGATAATGTACTGCACTGACAGTATGCATCTTCCTTCTAGTGTGTTTTTGTATCAGTTCCATTTTCAGATTTAATGATGTTTTTGTAGTTTGAGATTATTCCATCAGACCATCGTTCTGTTAACAGGTGATTAAGATAACACGATCCTCCATCTCCCTCAAACCCCAGAAACAATATAGTTGACAAAATATGCCTTTTCAGGTCAGAGATAAGGCATTTTTTGATCAAGGCACTCAGCTGGGAACAGCACTGGAAAAGATATGGCTGATCCTGGCTATTTTTAAAGCGCACTGCAAAATTAATCCATTTGCAAAAAATTTTCCATTATAAATGAAGATGTAGAATGGAAATAAGAAAACAAATTGAATGTATCCTAGGAAACAGATACTTTAAAACAAGGAAATGCAAAGCCTAACATCTTCTTTTTCATGTACCTCTCTGTAAATTGCTATTACTATATTTGTTACTCATATACGAGATTGCTGGAGAACTATCTTCATATAGGCATTCAATTCTTGTTAACCCTTGTATCATTAGAGTTCATACTCACTACAGCAGGCAAAGCAGATGTTCTGAAGTAGTGTAATAAAGTAATTAGCGATAATTGCTGATGTTGTAAAGAGAATAAATAGTACTGTTGAAGGTTATTATATATTTATTATAAAATACATATTATTCAGTAATATTATTCTGCATTGTCCCAGTCTGGCACCTGTAGAAGCATGCATTGTAAATCACAACATTCTCATTTCTTACTCTGAGACATGTTATAAAAATGTGGGTTCTTAAAACTCTTTGCATGGTGGCACGTTTTCTAAGCAATACTGCGAGTCAAACGGTATGTCAGAGGCTATTTTTCAGCAGGTAGCTATTGCAGAAGATCAGTTCCCCTCCCTTGTTACATATGTAAGAAATGATAAAACACCATATAATTCTAAGCTACTTTCAGGCGATGATGAAGGAGGTGAGAAGGTAGGCAAATAGGCAGGAAAGTCCACACCAGACAGATAGTGTGGTCCCTATCAAGTGCTTGCATGGAAGACTGGCAGCTGCTGTATGTGCTGCCAGTAGGGAGGACAGACTCTGTGAGGATAAGGAAAGCGGTTTCAGAGGAAAAATTGCAGAGGTAGCTGGGAGAACTGGCTCCTGTTTGAACTGGAAGGGTTTGCAGTGGAGGATTAATAGAAACTACATTGTGTCAGGAAAACAGGATATGAGCCAGAAATAAATCTGTGCATTCTCTCAGCTGCGCCACCAGCCTCCTGCCTGCTGCAGAAGGGCGATTGCCCCAGAAGCGCCTCTCTGGTTGCTGACATGTCCCTGCTCCCATTTGCTGCCCTGCTCAGAGTTTCCAAGATGCTTGCCAGTACCAAAGATGCTGCTTCAGCTTTTTACTTGTCTCAGCTGAAGCCAAAAAGGAAACAAAAAAGGGAATCACATGGCTGAAAAGGATTTAAAAATTATTTACTACGTTTTTGTTTGGGTTGGGGAGGGGGAGGGGGCTAGGGTTTGGTGGTTTGGTTTTTTTTTTGTAAGTCATCTACCTTCCCAATAGCCTGTAAAACACTGGGGTCTCCAGCTAAATCTTGCTGGAGGAAAGGCTCTTGTGCTGGCAAAAAGGGAAGAAAGTGTAAGACAAAGCAAGATCAATGCTCCATAAGGGTGGATGAGGCTGAGATTTTCTCCTCTTAAAAAGCTATGGACCTTCACACTGTTTGACAATTCCTCAATTTAACTGAGTGCTGTCTTACCACTCAGTCTTTTCAGTGAAAAACATTTCTGGTCCAAACTTCCCTTTTCTTACAGCAAGACCTGTCTCTTTATCAGATCATTCAAATGAACCTTGGTCTCTTCTTTTGAATATATTCAACTTCACAGGAGACACAGTAGGGCGGGTGTTAGAGCCCAATTGTCTTCCTGATCAAGGACCAAACCTTTGAGCCAAGGAATTGTTGCCCAATTATCTCTGGCCCAGAAAATATTTGATTCATGGTAGGCAGCTAGAACTGGGGATTACCCAATGCTTTTTTCTGACCTCTGGACTCTGATCAGTGTGATCTAGGAAACTTGGTCACTCTAACCTGAAAGAACTAAGTGGTATATTTTTTAAATATGTTATTCTTTTAAAAAAATGTATCTGTCTAAAACTGTTCACTGGATTCAAACAAAGACTTGGTCAGGATCCCCATTTTGGGACATGTGGACATAGCCTGTGAGAAGTGTCCCCGTTCTTAAACCTCAAGCTGTGACATCTCCCAAGGTCGGATCACATAGCTGGACTCCAAGCATCGGGCTTCAGCTCTGCTGTACTAACTGTGGTTAGCTTTGCAAGCTTGCCTTTTATTTGGGACCTGTCATTTTGTTCCCTCCAGAAATTATGTTAATAACCAAAAAAATTTCTTTAAAAAACAGGAGTTTGTTGTGAATTTTAGAAAACAAAAACCAAACCACAAAGCAATAAATAAACTCTTCCTATATGCAGCCAGCTAAGCATGTGTATTTACCCTCCATACAGGGAATCTCGATATTTTTAAGCTTCCTAAAACTCATCCTTCCCTGCCTCTCCACAGAGGGCCTCCAGTCTGGATAGCACAGTTTCTCTTCTTAACTCACTAACCTTTCTCTCTCGTTTTCCTTCAGGGAAAAAAAAAAAGAAAGAGTCTTTAAGAATGTCTCTGGTTTTTGTTTGTAGCCCTATGATCTGGTAACTCACTACTCCAGCAAAATGGCTTTCAGCTGGTTGGAGACAGGAAATAGGTTTCATTAAGCTATTAGCTTTTGCCATTGTCTTTTAAGTGTATATAAGGTGTTTTTTAATCCAGGAACCATTGTGATTGCTTTGTGTTTTGTTCCAGCAATTCCTATTAAATTAGTTTAATTTGACAGGAAAGTCTAATGACTCATTGTAGCTATAGAGTAGCTGAACTCCACTGACCTGATTACACACTATATTTACTCAAACGATCCAGAATTAATATGCAGTTCTTAGATTGTCACATAACAGCTTCACATCTCTGACTTTGCTGACACTCAAGCCTTGTTTGCTTTTCAAACAAAAGGGAGGAAGGGCGAATATGAGTTCTGAGAGTAGCTATAGACAGTCCCTGTGGGTTAGCTCAGTCATGTCAGAGCTTGAGTTTTCATGAGGTTATTATAGGCATGAAATAACACCACAGATTAATAAATTTGATTGGCATTTCCCATTATAAAAGATCCATTTGGCCATTCAGGCTGTAACTTCCCTTGTGAATATCTGTCTGTGTGGAAAATTTTGGACAAAACTTTGGAGCTGTTTCAGAGAACAAGGTTGAGGGAAAACACAATCTTTTGCCCACATTAATAACAGCTCTAGAAACCATTTATCTGAAATACTTTAGATAGCTTATCTTATGGAGGAGGGGCTTGAGACTGGGAGAAGGCAGGGAAGAAGAGAGAAGACCTCTGGGGTGGATGACTTGGGGTGTGTGTCATCCTTGCACAATGGCACGGTGCCATCCCAGACAGAAGATAAGAACATCCTCTCCATATCAATATCAGAAATAATGGTAATTTTTGAATGGGGCACAATGTACTTAAGATGGCAAGACCCACGTTTGCTGTCTCAGTTGTTTTAGCTGGCTTGGATTCAGTTGCCAGCAACACTGAGGTGTTTCCCTTCTCAGATGGCTCCCAAGAGAGTGTCTCTACAAGCAGGATTTGATGCATGTGCCTAGATCTCCCTTTAGTGGTGATGTGCAGCAACTATAACTGCCTGGGATTGATCCTACCTGCAGGGATCAGTTCTTCAGCACAAGTAATGGGGCTTTCACAGATGGTCATGGGTTTGGTCTGATTCACACTTCCACAGTTAGCTAGTATGCCTTAAAATGCATCCTCCCTACTCTTCTTCAGGCCAACAGTCAACAGGTGAGTTGCAGGACATCACAGGGCATGAGGTTCTGGCCAAAGAATAGGTGATCCGTAGGTTTTGGAGCAAGGGAAAGGTGTGCTGTCCTTCAATAGGTGGAAGAGCTTGGCAGGAGTGGAGGATTTGTCTGTAAAGGGAAGAGACATGGAGGAGCTTGGAGTTGTGGAGAAAACAGAGCTTCTAGTGGGAAGGCAGAAGATGAGGAACAAAAAGCAGAGTTTCTTTACTTCCTGTCCCACACTTAAAAAACCTCAGGAGGAAAATGTTTATAGTGATAGGGCCAAGTTTAAAGATTTATGTGGCAAGACTTGGTACTAAAATTATAAAAGACTCAGGAGCTAGTCACTATAGAACTGCTGTGAGCCAAATTCTGAAAAGCCTTAAAATTTTGAGTTTTTTTAATGGTAATGTTCAGTCCAGCACCTGCCCTCTCACCTGCCTCTACCCATTCTTTGCTTTTTCACAGGATGGAGGTACTGCTCTTCTAGCTGCTTCTCAGTACGGGCATGCAAAAGTAGTGGAAACTCTGTTGAAGCACGGTGCCAACATTCACGATCAACTTTATGTGAGTTATTTGACACAGATTATATTGACAACACTGGTGGTGGAACAAATGTGCTGTTGGTTGGACATCAGCAGATACTCTGGCTCCAGCACAGAGAAGCATTTGCCAAACGTTGTGGTTTTATAGTACTCTGCTCTTCTAGGATGTGAATTTTGTTAACTGTCTGCTTTTCATGATCCTAGGAGAAGCAGTACAAAATCAGACAAAAAGTTTTGGCCTCCTTTTTGTTTATTATCTCTATGAAGGTTATGTACCAAATCTAATCAGATTTGTGCTATACATTAGCCTTGAACAAAACACCATGTCAAATTCTACAATCATATGCATTGCAGACAGAAGAGTGAATAGCTATAAAGTCCCTGAGGTACTAGAGGATCAGTTCATCAGTTTTCTGCCAGAAAGAGCAGTAAATGTTAAAATCTTTAAATCTTTATATATCCTTAAAATATTTTTAAGAATATCAGTTAAAATTATACTATTTGGTATTTGTGCATCTCTAGCTTGTCAGTCTTTTGGGCAAAAATGGTTAAAATGACTGAACTGACATGATTTAGTTGACTCTTCAGAAAGCTGGATTGAGCCAATGAAGCACTGGATTTAATTTACTCCAACAGAGACACAAATAATTTGAGCTTTTCAGCATTCAACAGAAACTGGCAGATTTTCCCTTCTCTTCCCACCACCCTTTCCTATCCCAGGGCATCAAGACTGACAAAGAGGAAGTTGTTCCCCAGGGATACAGGAGTTTTTTTCAGCCAATTCCATGGGCTTTGGATTTGCAGGATGCAGTTGTACTCTCAGCTCCCATAAGTGTGCACAGGAGCCAAAGGCTGGTGACTGCAGAAGCCATCAGCACAGCAGGGGCTAAGCACTGATCACACAGGGAATCCCCACCTCTGTGCTGCCCTCACCCTGTATTTATGAAGAAGGGTGTTCCACCCTCGCTGCTGTGCAAATAGCAGTTGCCTTTCTAATCTGAGGGCAGTGATTCATACCTCTGCATGGTAATCCCAGGGGTTACCACTTGCTTTAAAAATAGCCATGCTGCCACACCTGCAGACACTTACCTAGAAGTGGAAGCAGTAAAATAACTTCCTTGTTGTGTCTCCTGGAAACAAGCAATATTTGCAATTGGATTTAGAGACATACTTTTATTGCTCACAGCCATTGGGCAAAATCAGTCAGAAACAGCTGCTCAATAAAATAAGAACACAACCTCTTGAAAATGAGCGTTAGCCTGGCTCTTTTTGGGGGACATCACCAAGCTGCACCTGCAAAGTGATATCTGGCTGGCAGTTTCACTGGCAGGTGACCAAATGAGAGGGATTTCAAGCATGTGTTTGGATAGTCCTTCCAAAACCATCAAGATAGATAGATATTTTAATCTTAAATTGACTGATATTACGAGTAGAGGAGAAGCTGAGAGAATACCCTAACTAAACACTATTTTCAAAACAGCTTTCTCATTACAGCATCAATTCAAATCAAGTACAAAAAACTAATAATTTTTAACATGGTTGGGTGGTAGGGAAGCCAAGGTTCTCCATCTTGATTGGTGCTATAATAAAGAGCTCTTTTAATGTTACACAACCTTGTTTACATTTTAAATTGAAGTATTCTCACTATACATATCTCCAGAGGAAGCCTGCAAAGGACCTGTTACCATTACCCTATTTCACATAGCAGCCAGAGTAAACAGCCCCTCAGAGGGCCCAGGAGTGGACATTTGTAGTGCCAGCAGACACCTCTCTTGCTTACCAGGATATTTGTCTTGAAATCAAGATCTAATTCAATCAATATAGGGCATTATATTCAGCTCATGCTTCACTAAGTCTGTGCTCGGTTTTGCAGGAAGAGGAGTAGCTATGCAGTATCTCTCAGCAGACAACAGCATTTGGTCCCAACATAGCGATATGCCAAAAAGATCAACAACAGGCTTCCACTTAAATGCCCTGTATTTTGTGACAAGCATATGCATGAGTTGGCATGAGATGTGTACTTGCTCCTCTGAGGTGCGGTGAAGGGGTTCATTTGTGTCTCTATTTAAAGTAAGAGTCTCACCTCCTGGGAAAACTTGCCCTAGCATGCTCTGTGCAGAGTGCTGTGGATATATGATGGGTAAACACCTGTCCTACCCTCAATGCAGGTTTCCACTTCTAGTTGGCTGGATGGATTATAATGCTGTTTGAAAATTTTTCATCAAAGAAACTTAATGAAATATGACTTTTACATTTTTGCCTAAGGAAGAAATTTTTGTGAAGTCAAATTTGGAGAACATCTGCACATGAAAGACATGTTGAGGAAAAATAAAATCCCATATTTGTTCACAATTTGTTCTTTCACAAGCTTTTTGCAGGAAAATTCTGGTTTCTGACAGGGCTATAAGGTACTCTGTCTTGCATGTGCTGCTTTTACATTATTATATTATAGGGGCCATCTCTTCTACAAGGTGTGCCAGAGCAGTGGCATGGTAGTTGCTGAGGTGGCACAGTAGCATGGCACAGTACTAACTCCTTCAGCCTCAAGGACAGGCTTCAGTGCTGGAGTCTCTAAGTCTTGAAAAGTACTTGAACATGTTTTTACCATGTGTCTATGTAGCAGAACAATTCCGCGTGAACATATAAAATCTAAATGAACCTATACTGTTCTACAGGAATGTATTTCTAGTTATGTAGATCAATGCTTCAATGAACTGGGCTCTTAGTATTCCAGACCCTGGATTTAATGCTCAGTTTGATATTGATGGAAGCCCGTACTGGTGCATACTGAATGAAAATGTTACCATAATTTGTCACAAACTAGACTTTGAATTTTGGTAATTATTTCTTGAGCATGAGTGTATATCTGCCGTTACATGCCATAATGGCTTAAGAACGAGAACTTAATTAATTTTGGTTTGGTTTTGTGTGGAAAAAAGGCACCATTTCAACACAGTGTAAGCTGGATATATTTGTTCTTAGGATGGAGCTTCTGCAATTTTCCTGGCGGCACAAGGAGGCTATCTGGATGTCATCCGATTGCTGCTTTCTTCAGGAGCAAAAGTTAACCAGCCACGGCAGGTAAGCTCATCACTTCAGGGCAGAGCTGGGGACTAATTTTTTACAGTTAGGAAAAATTCACACTGGAGTTTTCTCCAGGCATCAGGTTCTCATGGATGTGTTTCACTGGAAGGCATATTGTGGCTGTGCCTGCATTTGTGTTTCAGTTCAGATTGGTAATGTGCTTTTGAAGCGAGTACCCCAACCATTTCTACTTGTGTGCAAACTAGATCGTTTCTGGAAGAAGTGAAACTGGAAGCTCTATCTAGATCTGCACCAGATGCGCTTACACCCTAAAGCAGATCAAACCACTGGCTGATGCTTTGAACAGAGTTGAACCACACACCTCTTGCAACTACTAATCTGCTTCTGTTGTACCAAGTGTAGGTCTATACAACCTACCATATCCTTGCATTCTTTTTGAAATCTGGGAAAAGCCTGTAAAAATCTGGAAACTCTAGTGGGTGACTACTGAATTCGGCATATTGAAATCAACAGGCCTTTAGTACTGTGGCTTGAGTGTGGAACCTGATCTTTGACAAAATCTTTTACTTTTAGTTTTACTTCTTTTAGTTTTACTTTGTATCATCCCTATGCACTCTGAAACTCAAGCATGAGTATTACCTTCATCTCTGGAGGTTCTTGATACGTGTCCCCATTTCCAGCTAGTTACTCTAGTGGGCCTGATCCTGCAAACATGTATGACCGGGGCAACCATAAGCATGAAATTAGCTGCTCTGTAGGCAGTGGGGCTGCTGTTCCATCATTAAATTGCATGTATGAGCTAGATTTGTGCCTGGTTCAGAGGTCCCTGCTAGGGGGCTAAGGGATAGAGCCACCTTGCACCACTGTATGCTGTGATCACTGTGTTAGGTAAGGTTACAAGATACTTCCTAGGTGTTTAACTATGGCATATGTAAGCATACATGACGTACAGAGACATATATAAAAGCTCTCTTGGTTTCCAAAAAAGGGTTCCTTAACTGTTTAGCTGTTTCTTAACTCTAAAATCAGTGCTTAAACAGCACATTTGGATGCTGCTTTGAGTAGCCAGATGTGGGAGTTGCACAGCTAGCTTTACTCCCGGCACCTGGAAATGTCTGGTTAGAGACAGGGCTTCCCAGGATTCTTTGCCTGCTTTGGGAGAGCCTCCCCTGTGGTCTGCTGAAACCCTGCAGGCAAAGTAGCTGTCCTGGGTCTTCACTGCACATTTTAAATTGATGGGATATGGTCTTACCCTTGCAATCAGTCATGTATGGCTGTCAGGTGGCTGTGATCACTGACTGCAGCAAGTAAAAAATCAGCAGGCAAGAGCAAATGAATGTGAAAACTCTAATAAGAGTGGACAATGTGGCATGTGACAAGGTTTGTCAGGTATTTTCAGTATTTCCTTTCATCTGTACCAAAAAGCCTGACAAATCATAGCCTGGCAGCACAGATATGACTTCTGCTGCATCTCTATGTCTGCATAGCCTTCCTGCTTCTCCTGTAGTGTAAGGAAACTGGATTAGCATTTTATGTGCCCAAACTAAAGTCATTTTACTTCTGCCTCTTCCTGCACCTCTCCAGCAGCAGAGCTGTGCTGGCACCTACTCCAGCTTCTATGCTGCCTCCACACTCTCCAAAGATTAAGAGATGTGGTGAAAAACTGTTAATTAATGCAGTCTAAAAGATCAGTGTATAAGGATAGACCAAGGTATGCATTAATGCCTTTTGATTAGATCAAAATAAGGTTGGGGAGCCTTAAATTTAGCTCCACTGTGTTGCCATAAAAACTGCATTCTGCTAACCATGATTATAATGTCCCAGCTAATTCATTCTGACAATATTTTTTTAGCTCTCTAATCCAATTTCTACAACACAATGTTTCATGAGGCATTTTTAAATCTTAGTTGAGGCAAATACTTCACTATGTGAATGTTCCTTCTGGCTCTGTTTCATCTCTGGCAGGACAGGCTTATTTGCTTCAGGGTACCTCCGATCCCTGCTAAGATGATGCCTGGATAAGTCCGTGGCATTTTTATTTGGGCCCATTGTAATCTGGAATATTTCCTTAACAAATGGAACATTTTTACTGTTTAATTAGTACAGTAATGGTTGGGTGGACTTCAGTCTCTTTCTTACTAACAAACAAATTTGTACTTTGTTCGAAGGTGGCATGTTGGTCATGAGGAATGTAGCTCTAGATGGGGTGGTTTCAATGCCAGATGACTCTTACTGTCAGTTATAAATTACAGCAGCTCTCACTGCTGTAGGCAACTTTTCTAAGCAACATAATATTGAATGCAGGGCTGCAGAGTGCAAGGTGTGAGTTCATGCTTCTCCTTCCTTATGGTGTCCAAGTTCTCCTCTCTGCTTTGTGAATCTTGGGGCTTAATTCATGTGCCGCTGCATCTGTCTTCTATGTCTCCTCCTGCTGCTGCAGTGGGTACCAATTCCCCTTCAATGTTGTGCCCCATCTCCCAGTCCCATGGGTATCCTCCTGACACTGTAGAGCATCTCAGATAGCACTGGCTGTCCATGTGCATGCCCTTCAGCTCACCTCTCGCAAGACCAAATAGTGAAGCTTCCTAGCGAGTTTCTTCCCTGGTAATGTAATTTCTCTTGGATTTTAGCTGCCTTATGTTCTTTCTGACCTTGCAGAACCAGGCAGGAATTCTTTTGTCATCTTTTTGTCTAGACAGAGCTGGGGGCAGTGTCTGAAGCCTGGTGCGGAAGATGTTTCTTTGCTTCTCCAACTCAAAAACAAAGCAAGAAGATTACTTGCCAATGAATGTACACTGTTTTGGCAGCCTGTGTCCCAGCCAGCCGTAGTCTGACTGGCTAAGCAGATTCAAAATACTTTGAAAATTAATGCTTTTTTTCTTAACATATGATATGCAATTACACATATATGTAAGCCAGTAAACCTATATAGAGTGTAGACTTCAAATAAGCAAGCAATTTGTTATTAGCAAGAATTCAGCTGATGTAGTGCTGTGAGTGGTCTGATTGGTAGAACAGTGGAGGAGATGGCACTGAGTAGCCTGAGAATAGGGGCTATCTGTCCCTGGAAGTCCTTACGGGGATTTTGACAGGTATTTCACCTCCCACCCTAATCTACCGCTTTCTAAAACTCCAAGCCACAAGCAAACATTGAGATTCAAAGCTGCAAAGACAAGTCATTTAACGGGTAAGAGAAAGAGCATCAGAAATTTCAGTCAGAGTATGTTTGGAACTGCAGGCTGCTGTAATCAAATACGGAATTAAGCACAGCTTATAAACATATGGTGTATTTAACATTGTTCTAGGAATGTAATGGTCTGTAGTCTGCTGGGTGGGCAGACAGACAATGAGAGGAAAGTAGTTTTTGAACTGCATCTTTCCCAGTTATCACTTCCTGACTCATCTCCAAGCTCTAGTATCTTTTTAAACAGGAATTCTCGTGTGGCCTCATAGTACAATATAATATTCCTTTTGCACCACACACACTGACATAAAAATGGACAGAAATCTCATTAACTCCATATAAATATTGTATGTGTTTGCATGAACCTGCATGTTAGATGCTGTTTGCTTAGGACAGAGAAACTGACAATAGTCAATGTGAGCCCACCATCAACTTCATCATCATTCTTCTCTTCAGGCTAAGTCCTCTGAGGCAGTTGTTCTTTCTCACAATGTATTTTTGCCTCTAGCCTGTAACTGGGGTACAGAGGATGATGTCTGACAGCAATACTATTAAGTACAGTTAATGGTAAAAGTGATGTTACACAACATTTGTATTTCCTTCTGCTCCTTTTCATTTATACCTGAAAATCATAGAATCATAGAATGGTTAAGGTTGGAAGGGACCTTAAAGATCACCTACTTCCAACCCCCCTGCCATCAGCAGGGACACCTTCCACTAGACCAGGTTGCTCAAAACCTCATCCAACCTGGCATTAAACACTTCCAGGGAGGGGGCATCAACAACTCTCTGGGCAACCTGTTCCAGGGTCTGACCACCCTCACAGTGAAGAATTTCTTCCTAATATTTCATCTAAATCTACCCTCTTCCAGTTTAAAGCCATTACCCCTTGTTCTATCGCTACCTGCCCTTGTAAAAAGTCCCTCCCCAGCTTTCTTGTAGCCCATTCAGGTACTGAAAAGGCTGCCCTGAGGTCTCTCTGAAGCCTTCTTTTCTCCAGGCTGAACAGCCCCAACTCTCTCAGCCTGTCCTCATAGGAGAGGTGCTCCAGCCCTCTCATCATCCTCATGGCCCTACTCTGGACTCACTCCAGTAGGTCCATGTCCTTCTTATGTTGGGAACCTACTTCTTATGTTGTAAGAGTTCTTACAAACTTCACTGTGAGTAAAAGAAAGTTGCTGTGTTCCTGGCGCTGTGCTTGTGCTTACATGGTGTGGATTTGCACAGCATTGGTTCTTTATGCAGATTAAATTGTGTGGGCTACTCTCAGATATTTTCCAAGTTTCATAGGCTTTTTCAGTGCCCCTATTGCTATTTTCTAGAGCCCTCTGGTGGGGGGAGATTAGAAAAAGATGAAGTGTCAGCTTACTGGTGGGGAAAACACTATAAAATGCAGAGGAATAGTTTTTGCCATCATGTTAACATCACATATGCTGTATACAAGAGAGCCTTTGTTGGTTTTGAGTCACAAAGAACACTCATTGTATTAACAGGATATATACTAGAATGAGGTCAGTCACTAATTTCAATGGCTTAATTTATAGAGAAATGATACAAGGGTGGGCAAAGATCCTGTTTCTCGCCATTTGAGAAGACCGAAAATCTCAGCATGTGCATTTGCTCTTCCTCAGAATCAGAAAAAGGGAAGCCCAGATATATCCAAGGAATAAATAACTTTTCTGATTCTTCCAAAGGATTAAGTCACTAGCCCATAGAAAGCAGAGAACTGATTCAACAACGGGTTTTTTATTTCATGAGCAAGTCATATGAATCTTCAGTTGGCACTGAGGAGAGAGACTGCTTCTTTGATCAAGGTGGAAGTATCTTACTGTAAAAAGTTGTTTTCTTCTGAAACTTCTCATTAAGGGTCTTTTGGAAGCCCCAGTATATTTTGTCGTCCTTTCTTCTGCCAAGTCTTCAGGCTGCTGAGGGTGGCAAGGGGAACTGGCAAGTGCCGAAGGCAGAAGCAGGCACCCTGCTACGTGAGACCTCACTTTTTTGCTAAAGTCCATACAGGCAAAGCCTTCTGTAAAAGGCCCACAGGAATCAGTTTGGCACCACAGAACTGCTGGAGTCTTCCTGTAGTCGGGAGAATCAGACCATTTAGAAGCAAAAGTAGGAAAATACACAAAACTAAATTCTAATTGCAGTGAGAAATACTTTTAGTGCTTCAACTCCCCTTTGCCTTTGGGATGGAAATCCACCACAAAGTTTAGCTTATTCTGAATGTGCATTTTATTTTCTGAGGTTTTCTACTCAAATAGTGATTGCATAGGACCATTTTTCCAAGCTAGATTGTTTCATGCTGGATTCCTTGGTAATTGCCTTGTTTTCTAGTGGAGTTCTTAAAGATAAAATTGGTGAAATACTCACCATCGATGTAAGGCAGGACATTTTTACCAGATTCCCTGAGGATGGATAATATAACTTAATATTGAAGGTTGGTGATCTTGGTCTTGCATTGCTCCTTAGATTCTACGAACAACTTCCACTCCCTACGTACAGAGACCCAGCTGCAGAATCTGCTCACACATGTTGAGATTTGCCTGTATCTTCTGTCACATCTAGCCACCTAAATTTCAAAGTACACAGGATGCTTTTGGCCTTTACATTTCAGACTTCCCCATGTATTTTAGGCACAGCTGGCAAGCCAAAGAGGGCTTTACCTGTTCACAGAGCAAAGCACTTTTCAGGCCAACTATGCAAGAGAAAGCAGCTAAGGGTGGCTCTATTCCACAGCTGGAGTGGTTCTGACTTGATACACTAAGATCCCATGTGCTTTTGGAAGCAACTCTGCATATGTCTACCAGTGATGCAGGATTTAATTGAGAAATGGAAGTAGGCAGACTTGGGGGGTAAAATACCAGGGAGCACAGGATCTCAAAGTGAAACCATTAGCAGTTTTATTTTGTTTGCAGGATGGGACGGCTCCCTTGTGGATTGCATCGCAGATGGGTCACAGTGAAGTGGTGCGAGTAATGCTGCTCAGGGGAGCTGAGCGAGACGCCACGCGGGACGTGAGTAGCACGTCTTCCTGTGCTCTGTCTGCAGCTTAATGCCTTCTAGCTTTTTTTGAGGCTGCAAGTCTTCCTGAATGGAGGCCTGGTGTCCCCAGTGTCTGTCCTGCTGGCTGTGTTGTAAAGTCCCACCATGGGCTCCCTTTTTCCTGTTGTGTCTGGGACAGCCTCCTGGAGGGACCTTCTGGAATAAGAGAATGGAAACATGCATATAAATGGGAGACAAAGATGATATATGGTGTCACTGGTTTATTTTACCCTGAAGTTTTCATCTGCCAGAGGAACAGTCCTCCAGATGCCCTAAAACCAGCAGCATGTGCTGTGGAGGTGCCTCCTCAAAGATGATGAGCAGAGGAGACCCTCCTCTCAGAGGTGTCGGGGAGAGCTGGCGTTTCCCTCCAGCCAAGGGGAATGGAGGTAAAGCATTGGTAACAACTGAACTGACCTTCCTCTCTCTTTTAAAGGATGGTACAACTGCTTTACTGAAGGCTGCTATTAAAGGGTACAACAATGTGATAGAAGAGTTGCTGAAATTCTCTCCCACACTTGGCCTGCTGAAGGTTAGTAGTGAAACACAGGGATTTTTAGGCAGAAACTCAAGAAGGCAAAGGGTCTGATCAAAGACCTAACATTTACAACTATGCCAGTGGAAGATGATAAGGAGATTAGCCCAAAAAAGTCAAAAGAAAAATGAGATTATCTTATATAGCCTTTAATGCCACACACGAATTAATATTTTCAAATGTAATTGTGAATTTAATTTTTAGAATGAGGAAGCACATTGTATCTAAGAGGGAATTCTCCTGCTTTTCAAAATCTGATTTTATTTCTGCTGTAAATTTATTGCTCTCGACAGTGCAATTTCTAGCATTATACACTGCTCTGTATTGCATTTAGTCAGCAAAATAGAATCCTAAGAGATCTGCTGTAAGCAGGTCCTCTACTTTATTTTTTTCTCTTAATTCAAAAAGTGACTTGAAAAATAACAGATATTTGGAAGCTGGTTTTTAATAGCTCATCTAATTTTATGTACCTATAAATCACATACTCTGATAGCCTCTGTGCATGCAACTAACTGGCAATTTTGATGTACTTGAAAATCCAGGTGGCATTAACTTAGTTATTAATTACAAGTATGAAATTGCTTCCACACTTATTTGAACTGTCAGTTTGCAGCCACAAACAAAAGGCCAGCCATAAAAAAATCACATCAGCTGTCTGACCATTAATCATCAGAGAAAGAAGATAAAATACACAGATGGTTTCCATTAGTGCTTATGCTCCTGTTTCACTTGCTTAATGGATGATTTGCCAGGCAGAAGCAAGTGCTGTGTTCATTTCACCTCTAATTTATTGACAAGCGTAATTTTTAAAAGGAAATATTGCTGTGGTAAAGTGAACTTGACTCTCATTTTTATTAAAGCATTTAAAATCACCTCCTTTATGGCCCACTAGCCTGCCAGCACCCTGTCTAAATCAGATCCCATACCTTTGATGACCTATCTCTTTCATGGTACTTCTTTCTTGTTCATAGGTTTGTTCTTTGCAAACATTTATCTTTCACTGCCTTTTGATTTCTTCCTGTGCACGTTATAAACATCTCTGTTGGTATTTTCTAGAACGGGACCTCTGCTCTCCACGCGGCCGTCCTGAGCGGCAATGCAAGGACAGTGGCACTGCTCCTCGAAGCAGGAGCGGACCCGTGCCTGAGGAACAAGGTACGTCCCGGCACGCCATCCCAGAACATGGTACATCCTGGCACGCCGTCCCGGGCGAGGAGCCAGTGGAGAGCACCGAGTGGCAGAGCCGCGTGTGCCATGGAGACGGTGGCATCCCACGTTTCTGTGTTGGACCATGGTCGCATCTTGATCCTCTCCTGACACGCTACCATTTGGTCCATTCGTTTCTGTACACAAGCATCTACAAGGTTGCCAGGCAGTGCCACTGGCGATGCCAGTACTTGTGAAGTTACATTAGTCTGAGAATAACCAAACCATGTGCTCACTCACTCGAGTACCACAGATTAAATTGTTAACTATAACTAGTCATGGGCCAGCTGGGTTGTGTTCCAGGGTAATCCATTCCTGGTTTGATAAGTCATCAGTTATATTTATATCTCCATATAGATGTGCAAGGAGGATATTTCCGCAGCAAGCGAAATGTGTATCTGGGTGCCTTTGATTAGAAAACTTGTTTAGAATTCAGCACATTGCTAATACAAAAAAAAAAATCCCAAATTACATGCATCTTTCCCATTTCTTACTGTAAATCTGTTAGTTTATTGAAATAGTTTCACATTCTTTTTATAACAGCAACTTTTCTGCAGAAAACCTGTCTTGGCTTTGTTCTGTAAGGTGTTGTAACATTACATATTTGAAAATTTCCATGAAAAAGTCTTCCTCTGAGTTGTGTTTCTAAACTATTTGCCACTAGTATTCGATATCTAGCTAGTCTGCTAAGCTGTGAGTGGGTAGTCTGGTATTATGCCTAGGTGAATGAAAGTTTGTGATACAAGTAATCCAGCGCATACCTTCTAATGCTTTGGTCATTTAATATAAAATCTGTGCCTGTTGTTTCTGTGTCATTCCACGTGATGGCAGCAGAGTTAGGGCCTGGCAGTTGGTGTCACCAGGCATTTTGCTTGACACTGTCGTCCGAACAATGTGCAACATTTTGCTGCTACTGATGGTAATTTGCAGCAGGAGAGTGTGCAGTATGAGAAAGTCTATGGCTGTAACCTCTCCAACTGTTCTTCTTTAAAAACAGCATGCAATTTGGCACAACAGGGTACATTTGTAGAACAGAACTACTGATTTTCAGAAGTAGCTTTAGTATAAATACTTTATGTTACCATAATGTATTCAATACATACTGAAGACCAAACTCTGATGTTCTGTTAGCAATCCTGCAGAATAACACTGACTATTTCATAGCAATTAAAGTCTTTTCTTGGATTTTTAAGGACTTTGGTACTTAAAGACCTGCCTCATCCCTCAAAAAATCAGCAGCTATGTTCTCTTTTAATTTTGTGACAGAAGCATAGAGAGCCCAAGTGATGCCATTTAGCCTGGACAGTTGGCACAAAATAAGCTGACCATTCAAATCTCATGCTAGGAGTATTTTGAAGACTTAAGTGAGATTTGCACACTGTGTGGAATGGAGACTTCTTAAGATATCTCTAACAGTAGTGGAGACAACACTGGAATAAGCACGTCATTATAATGCCCAGCACCATCTTCTTTACACCTTAATGCTTTTAAACCATGGTTTGGAAATACTCATTCATTTTTGCTAACCTAAAATTTTTTTGTTCCAGGCAAACGAGCTGCCAGCAGAACTAACAAAAAATGAACGCATCCTCCGACTCCTCCGCATGAAGGAAAAGCAAAGGAAAAGCTAATGCAGCCCTGTAGCAAATGCTGTTTGACAGAAATGTGCCCTGACCACAGTAGCATGACAGTAAACCTAGGGTGCCCAAGAAGGGCTTGTTGGAACAGTTTGCAGAACTGATTGGCCTCTCCAGTACATGCTCCCTGAACACATGGGACACTTGCCATGGGCTGGGGTCTCCACCTGACATCGCTGAACACAGGACTGCCATGAGAGCAGGGTCTGGCCCAGGAGCTGCATTTGCACTGCAGCCCTGCCTGTGCTCCAGGATCCCACCAGTCCCAGCACTGACCTTCGCTCCTCCGTGCCTGCCACGTACTCAGCCCTGCACGCGCAAGTGCTCCGCTGTTTCAGACACGTGTCCCCACATTGGCATGTCCACACACCTGTAACAGGTGCCTCAGGGCACACCTGTGGGTTGGGAGCACTCGTCCCTTGTGCCAACAGGACGCACAGACCTCGCAGCTGTTTGGATGCAGTTGGTCCTGGAGCAGCCCCACAGTGCCGCTGCCCTCCCTTTGCTGGCAGTGCTAGCTCAGACCATTCCTCTCTACCTCCAAGGGCCTCATGGGGCTAGAGGTGAGATCCCACCTGTGACATCCCAAGAGGAAAAGTCCTCCTGCCAGCTAGGGCTTTGGTAACATTTTGGCTACTACATGAAGCCTCATAAAAATGATCCAGAGCATTACAAATTATGCCAAAAGCTACCAGCCAAACAAGAAGCAAGGAGATGTCCTCCTCAGTTGCAGCATCTTGATCCATCAATCTGTCCAGCAACAGAAACACAGTGGAGCAGTTGATAGCATTTTGCAATGTGTACACAGTGCTATGAGGGTCCATCTCCAACCTATGTACGTGCAAGTCTATGTATATGCATTTTTGTGGGTGGAGGAGGACTGGTTACTGAGCAAACCAACTAGGGTACATCATTCACTGGCTCAAGTACATCAGAAATTTAGCTGTTGGGCACAAGAGCACAGTTGCTTATACAAGTGGTATATTTATATTCTGCACACGCATATATGTGACACTATGCTTTAGTACCCACAGCTACTATGCAATGCACTTGTTCCCCAGGTCTGTGACAGGACTTAGGGGAGAAGTGTGCAGTGTGCAGATGTTTCAACAGCTGGTGAGAGCATTACACGTAGCCACACTTGAATAGGACCACTAAGTAATGCAGGCATGGAAAATGAAATCTCAACAGCAATTTTAGCCTCTGTTGTGGTTGAAACACTTAGACACGCTACTAGTGCCTGCATGGGAAAGGCAGTGCAAATTATAGCTGGTTTGTGAAGAGCTATTTTTTAACCATGTTGATGTAAGACACTCCATTAAAACCCAGTCATTTTTGCAGTACAAACAGTATATACTGTGTCCTGTTAGCCACAAAAACATTGGAGATTATTTTACAGTGAGTTGAGGTGTAAAGTTAGTTCAGTACATAAACCCAGGCAGTTCACCTGCCTTCAGAACTTGATGAATTACTGAAAAATTGCTTTAAAAGTGGAAGATGGAGAAGATTCCCTGCTTAAAAAATGTCTGCCCAGGATTCAGCTAAACTGTTGCACTTTTGTTACAATAAGTTAAAAAAAACTTTTAGTGAGCTAGCACAAATGAATGTAGTTTACTTAGTGCAAATTAGCCATATATATTACCAAATCATAAAGTTATTCTTTTTGTGAGTAAGTTAGCTAAGAAGTCAGGGTTCTGGTGAACAGAACAGAAGTGGGCGTACCTTTGCTTGCAAGCTGGAATTGCTATTCAGTTTCCATTCAGCATTAGAAAGGAAAGCTTTGCATTTTCCAGCAATGTAAGGAGACACCAAGAAGAAAAATCTATCTATTTTTTAGGTAATTCATGCTGCTATATATTTAAATTAAAATAATGTTGTGCCTCAGAGAAACTTGCAGACAAACTGGAACAGAACCAAAGAATTATGCAAGATGCTTAGAGGTCGATTGTATCCATGGTTAAGTTCCACAAAAGACTAAAAAATACTGAGCATGCAGAAATCTCAAGAGCCTTATTGGGAACTTAAGTTGTACGGCGTTACATGGGACTGGACTCTGACTTCTTTAACAAGCAATGCTGGAGAGGATAGGTTTATTTGGAGCTCTCAGTGGGTTGAAAAGTGAACGTACTGTTTTGGAGAATGCTAGAGGGACTGTGGGCAGCCTGGCCTCAATATTCATCTTCCTCCCTGAAGTTTCTTCAGATCAACAGCTGGGACCAACCACACTGTTAAGACTAAAAACCCTTTAATGGTTGTAAAGGAGGAGGATAATAATTTGAATGTCTTCAGTAGTCATGCTGGGTGAGCAATAAATACTCTTAATATCAGACAGGCTGTAATGATCAACCAATCTTCCTGAAAAATGTAGAAGCATCCACTGTTGGTGAGGGTCTCCTATTTTTTTTTTGTGATGGCGGAGCATAGGAGAGGGGACAGGGCAAGCCAACAGTGGCCCTGTGACAGCTGAGGTAAGCAAGCCAAGACAACAACTTGCAGGTGTCCAGTATCTGCAGGTGGCCTCTCCTTTCTGCCAGGCATATTTTCTTGTGAGAGTGGTCTCACCCCAAAGGGGGCAGCTACTCGGCAAAGAGCTTCTTCTTGAACTACGCCTGTCCATGGGAAGACGTGTGTCTGCTCCTCACCATTTAAAGGAGGACTTTCCAAGTCATGTGTCCAGCTGCCTTCATGACTGGCAACTGCAGCTGGGGCTCTCATGCAACAGGTGAAGAACACCGGGGCTGCTGCATCCCATACGGAGCATCTGCTGATCTTCTTCTGAGAGGATGCAGTTACCAAGTTCTCTTTTTTTGAGTGATATTGGGCTATAACTGGCTTTTCTTATTTCTAAACAACATTTGAAATGTGGGGCTAGTGCAGGTTGAAGGGAGAGGCTTACAGGTCCCTCCTCGCTCTCATTAGTGCTGGCTGATACGGCACATAGGCTGCATGTGGGGGGCTCCGTGGTGGAGAACTGGCTGCAAAGTCTTTCTCTGTCCTGTTCAGGCTGAAGTTGAAAATAGCCTCAGCAAAGACATTATTCAGCCAACGCGGGATTTTGGGGCACACCTTCCCATTGGGACCTCTGTTTCATCGCGGAGCCTTTGGAGAGAGGGCTGGGTTTAGTTTTGGGTTCCCTGTAACCAAAAGGTGCTTATTCTGCCTCTAGATGGGCTCGAAAGCTGCAATACCGTTTCTCACCGTGCAATTAACCTTTTCACAAAGAAACCTTTATAATTCTTATTATTTATATAGCTGCTGTTATCTTTAAAGTGCTCAGTAAATACTGCTGTGGTTTGTTTGTTGTTCTAAAACGGAAACCTGCTTTCCCTTTGTGGCTGAAGTGCTTCACTAATATTGACAGTAATTCTTTGCATAGTTGTCATGCTTTTTATGCAAGGCTTTCAAAGTGCTCTGCAGACACTATCACCTTTGTAAGTTCCAAAATGCATTCCTGGGGAAGGCAGGCAAGTAGATTATTTCGTTCACACACCAGTGAAATGCAGCAGCTGTTCATCAGTTCATGTCGATAGAAAAGAGTAAATTTAGATTACAAATTAAGGGGCACCAAATCTATTTCAGAGATGGCAGGATGAAGGTAGGTATCATATAATGATGTGGAATAGAACTGGGACAGGGTAACAGGCCAAATTATTTTGGGGTTGAGTTCTGGGGTTTCTTTTGCCCCAGAAGTGCCATATATATGTTGATCTTACACCCCAAAAAAATAAGCTCCACTAGCACACTGGTTTTAAGCTTTCCTCTCTGCACATTCAGGGCCAGGGGCCCCACCTGCTGTCCTCTCCACCTGGGATTTATGCAGGTGCTGTAGCCTGGTGACTTCCCATCAGCTGCAAATGAGAACAAAGGATGTGCAACCAAGAACAAGCTACACAAATAAATCAAGGAAAAGTATAGGGCATCTTTCTTTTATTTCACTAGTATCAAGTCATTGTAGGGTGGGGATGAGCATGGGGAAAAGCCCATAGGGCATAGAAGTGGCATCCCATCACTGACATGGTAGTGGTGTAGCCTCAGAGGTCCCAAACACATGGAGCTCTTCATTTAAGGTGATCACTGCAGTGCAGTATGTAGGGTCATCTACTTAGTTATGATACAAAAGGCAATGGTGTACCTCCTGACTTGCACATGCTGTTCTTCCCTTGAAGCAAAACCATCCTACTATTGATCCACTCACCTTTGTTTAGTTTAGAAAGGCTGACGGCATTAGAGCACCAGATCAAACAGCTGTAGGTCATATTTCATGCACTTTAACAATGATGATTATTTGCCTCAGAGTCATAGCCTAATTGCAAGAATAATTCACACTTCTTTATTTGGCCAGTCATAGTGACTATTGGCAAATCCATAAGTAAACCAAATCTTGCATTGTCTCAGAAATTTCAGAATTGTTGTACGGAAAATGAGGTAGCACAAACCCTGTCCCATTTGTACTTCACAATGTGAACACCGAACAGACATAAAATACTGCCTTTGTCTGGAACCCTTGAGTCAGTGGCGTTAAAGTGTTAATGTTTTCTATGAGTCCAACCAAAGATTATACATAAGGCTCTTTTTTCTGGCGATGGAATATTCTACTGCACACACAGGACTAAGTGGAGTTGTGCCTTCTCACAGCAGCTATGCATTTAGGTCCTTAGAAATGTCACAATAGTTTCATATTTTTCTGAATTCCACAGTTTGTTTTGACCTGCCCTTTCACACATTTGATAAAACCAATACAAATTTATGTAAATTCATGTAAGACTAATATTCTGCAACAGGAATGTTGCTTTGCTAAAACACATTTTTCCATACCATCATTTCAATAAAAATTAATCTACTACTCAGATTATCTTGTCTGCATACTTCAATATTTCTTTCCTTTCTTCTGTATTCTCCTCTTTCTCTTTGTAGAATACCAGAATTAATTTCCTATTCATGTAAATACCACTTTGTTCCATTCCACTAATTTGATTAGATTTTTATTATTTTCC